TTGTAAGTGAGGTTGACTGCATAAATCTTTTGAGTTTTGATCTTCATGGAATTATTTAATCAATTCCATCATCGCGCAGATTCTGTAGTTTAATCAATTTTCAATTAATTAGATTGCAATTTAATGATTTAATTCCACAGAGATTACACAGTGTCTTACATCATTATTAAAAATAGTTGGAAAAAAGACTTGACACGAAATTATTTATCAACAACGCAGAAGTTGATCCCCCGATCAGATCAGTTTTTTTTTTTTTGCCCCGTATTTCATTTACTTTGCTTTTTTCTAGTTCAGTCCTGTATGGGCTCAACCCTCCTTGCGGGGTATCTACAGGTCGAAAGTTTATAGATTAATTCTTGGTCTCCTTATATGCTTCACATATCACTCTTAATAATAGTATTCTTGATTTTCAGCAACCTAACTAGCGCTGTCAAAGAGCATTACGTATTCCAAGAAGTGATTCTTTGCACTTCAATACGACTTGTAGACTTTGTAATAAATATGTGACATATTTTTTACTAGAAATATTAATATGTATTAAAAAAACATAAAAAAAGATTGTGAATTTGTTTTTTTTTATATAATATCCAACACAAATATCGCCAATATTTTGATGTTTGTTCGAATTAATCCTCAGAGCGGAATATTCTTACAACTGCTGAAAAAGAAGTCAAACAAACTTTGAAACATCGACGATTTTTGTATAGAATACTATATAAAAATAAAAAAAAAACTAATAAACAATTTTTATTTTTTATTTACATAAGCCTTTTCAATTACTCTAAGAGAAATATTATTAAATTTAAAAAACTAAACAATGTGTTTAAGTCTTAATTCTTATAACACGAATAAAATTTAGTATAAAGCAAAAATAAACCAAAAAAAATCTTAACTTCATAATTGAACAATTCTAAGTATCTCAAATAAAAATCAAAATAATCGAAAGAACATGAAAAATATTTTCCTTATCCGTGTTAGAAAAGTAATTTTCTTATATTTTCATTTTATTTCATCTCACTTCAATTCTAATTCTAATATTCCCTGAAAGGACTGACACTGTTCAAGGATTTGCCAAACTTCAAAGTGATCTGTTGCGGTGGTGACGGTACAGTGGGGTGGGTGCTCGAGGCGATGGGTAAGAAAACAAAATAAATAACTAAACTTATTCAAAACAAAAAATCACATAAATTCCTTATTTCATTCTGAAACAAATGTTTTCGATTATAATTCGAAAATCATTACTCACTGCATTATCCTTTCAACATAGATTCCATCGATTTGGCGACGCAACCCGCTGTTGGCGTAATCCCACTGGGAACGGGTAACGACTTAGCACGTTGCTTACGCTGGGGCGGAGGTTACGAAGGCGAAAACATACCAAAACTGATGGATAAGATAAAGCGTTCCTCAACTGTAATGCTGGATCGTTGGAGTATTGAAGTTACAAACGCACCAATGGAGGAAATACCGAAACCAAGAGTAAGTCAAACCGCTATTTTATACTGATTAAGGCGCACAGAAAGCATAGTTGGATAATGTAACCATTTAATAAAGCCTGTACGTTAACGCAAAGCAATTAATTTTCCATAGAAAATTTATTGTCACTCATACGCCATGCAAATTCGTATGCGCCTTTTTTTGGTGTCCTTTTATTATAATATTGTCAGTGGCACTTTTATGTTACAATATTCCTTTTTTGCTTTTGCTCTAATTGAACATAAAGTTACAATGGCCAAAATCCAATTAGTCCGAAATCCATTTAATTGCATACACTTTGACAGCTTTGTGCTAAATGTGACCCTTTTGGCCATCTTCTGCTATTACTCGCACACTTTTTGCCTCTGTTTTAGTTATTGGTTAGCTCTTAACTTAGTTTATATTTGTTGTTCTCGCATAATGTATCCATATGGAATTGCATGAAGCTGGGCTCCAAACAAAAAGAACAATTTTAATTTATCCTGCAATGGTGTTTACAAAGCAATTTCGGGTTACGAGTTAATTGCTTGCAATTTAAAAGGATTTAAATTTGATGACAGTTTAGGCAAATAAGGATTCCAAATTAAAAAGTAAGCAGAAGACAATAGAAATACAAAACACATAACAGTTAAAGTTTATTTATGAAAGAAATTCGGTTGAAGAAAATCCTTAGAGATAAGGATTAAAAAAGCATTACTTAGAATTGAAAACGATTTTTCCTTACATTTTTATTTAATATTTTATTTTGTGTTGGAAATTTATTTTGCCATATTGCAAAAATGAGAAAAGCATTTTTTAATTAAAAGCAAAATAAATATAAACTGCATACAAAGAAATAAAATTGAAATTATAAACACAAAATTTAAAGGAAAATAATTACTCCAAAAAGTCAACCAAGAAGGAAAAAATATTTTTTCCATAGCACATGGAAGGAACATTCGCTGAACTCTATTATGCATAAAAAAATATGAAAAGGAAAGAATTGTTCCTTTGTCGTTGTTAATCCTTATAAAGGCATATGTGTTTTAATGGAAATAAATTATTTTTTTTTCGTACATTACAAAATGATAATATTTTCATTTACAACAGATATGTATATTATAAATACTTGGTATATAACCTTTTATTTTAGCATTAAAAATTTTTATTTCAATTTAATTAATTCCAAGGAAGATTTAGCTTGTCTAGAAGTAGATAATATACTTGAAAGGAATATATATATACTATCGGACAGTCAGGCTGCTTTAAAGTCGTTAAATTCAGTCCAATTTACAACTAGAAAATTCTTTGCCTGCTATTTCTAAATGAGATGTCGACGCAATTCAATATCTTAGGGATATTTTCGACAATTGCAAAGCAGACGAGCTCGCCAGACGGGGTGCTTCAGGAAACCACTCAAAACACCTAAACAATCTGGGCATATTGTTGACATCATACAAACTGTCACTGAGTTCTTTCTGTGCCGAACTTTTTAACAAAAGATGAAAGACTCTTCGATATACAGGCATCTTTACGTAATTTGGCCACACACAAATAAAAGAAAATCAGAGTTGCGCCTTAGAGATATCAGTCTTGCAGTAGGTTTACTTACAGGTCATTGCACTCTAGGCAGCTTTGTTAGGAGACTAAATCTCCCTTTAAACCATACCTGCCGCAGTTCTGGTGAGGGCGGTGAAAGTGCCTCCCACCTGCACTTTCATCGTGCGTGTCGCCGCCTCAACACTTTATGGGCTTCCTTTTTGAGGATCTGGACGAACTTCAGTAACTCTCGTTGAGTTTTGAGGATCTTGACGAAGTCATCATAAGATTTGCCAAAGGTTCTCGATAGTTTTAACCCTTGGATTTTTAATAATACGGTACACAATGGGCCTATAGGCCTAAGTGGATCCGCTTGGGTTCGCCGGAATAACCCGACCTAACCTAACCTAATCTAATTCAAAACATTTAACATGATACTTGCATAGACGATACCCCGTAGTTTGTCTTCAATTCTTTAAATGTCCTCTCTCTTTTCTTGTTAATCGTTCTTCACCATATTGAGCTTTTGGAAAAACACCAACGACTATTTTTCCTTGCTTGTACCATATCAGTATCAGAGTTGACGACATTAGAGTTAAACGTACTTGACTCAGCACACACTGGATCGGATTATCATATGTATCAAAAATTATCAAAAATTTAAAAAAGTCCCACCAGTCCTAGCAGACAACCTAGAACACCACAACACATCTCTACTTGAAATCTTATAATTAAAATAAAACATTTGTATGTATGAAACAAAACAAATTTTTTAAAAAAATTTTTCATAAAACCGATAACCATAACCCTGAATGAGACTCTTAAAGAATTTTACTCAAAAATTTGGAATTTGAATCGTAAATGGATCTACACGTAGATCAACTAAATCAAAATGGTAATGAAAACACCAGTGAGGGTAAAACCATCAGGAGAGTATTTAAAAATGAATGGATTCCGCGGATTTGAAATCTAAAATTTCATATATTGTAGACTCCAATACAAGAATATATAAAACTTAAATAAGAATTAATTGCACGTACAGAAAATAATTAAGTAAAAATCTTGATTATTCCCATACCTAGATTAAAATGTTAACAGAGAAATAATGTTTGTTATTTTTTAATGTAATTAGACATAAATTAAAAAATAAAATACTAAGAAAATATATGCAAAATATTGCACAAAAAATGCAATATTTTTTGTTACTATTAAGTTTTGATGCCCACCAAATGAGCAAAACTTCAATCGCGTAAAGACATTTTTTGAATTTACACTAAAAAATTGTCAATTGGCCCAGTATATAGCAAGACAAAATTTTTTTTTTCTCAGATGTTATCGAAATTTTTATCGAACTGTTATCAATTTGTTATCGATTTATTATCAACTTATTATAGAATCAATACAGTTATCGAAATGTTTTTAGATAATTTTAAACAATAAAATCGATAACATCTCCTAATTATTGATATTTTCGCTCTTTTTAGTTGTGGATCACAAAAAAAAAAACCGTATATTGCTTGCTTACCACAAATCCAGTGTAGGTACAGTGGAGTAGAACTTTTTTTCTTCAGTCTTTTTTCAATTTTGAACTCAGATGTTACCGAATTTTTTTTCATTATGTACTATTTGACAATTGTTAACAATTTAATATATTATAGGGTTCATATATTACCTATTTTTTGATATATTCGCCCTTATCAGGTGTGCATCTCGACTAAAAAACGATATATTGCTTGCTTACAACAAACTTTACTTTAAGAACGATAAATTCTTTTAAAGTTTATTTTATATGAAAGATTTTTTATATTTTTAGGTGACATAATCCCCAAAGTCATTTTATTTTTTATTCAGTTATTCAAGATTTAATAGCAAATGCAATTTTATTTTATTAAAAAACATGTTCTACCTCTGACATTCCCACTTGATTGTTGACAAGAAAATTTTGTGTTCTTACATTTTGTAAATCAAAATTCAATTAAATGAATTCCTCTTTGCAATTCCAGGTCACACTACATTCGAATATGCAAAAAGTCTTTGAATTATCGCAAAGTGTTGTCGTTGAAAAATCCTTGATTGAGAGATTTGAAGAAATTCATCGCAGCACAAGTGCAACAATAAACGGTGGCAAAATAGCCAGTAGCGATGGCATGAATAATGCAACTGCGGCAGCCTCAACTACATCCATGAATTCTACCATAACAACAGCAACCGAATATGCCAGAAATGCCATCAACAACTGCAATCGAACTACAAAAAGCATATCAATGTCGACATTTGAAACAAAACGCATACAAAAAACATTAACAACACTAAGTAACAGCAGCAACAGCAGCTGCAGCAGCACAAGTACAAATTTGAAACAGCAACAAGAAAAACATGAACAGCAAATGTCACCTACAGATGTTGCACCTAAGCACACACAGCGGCAATGCGATGCTGTTAATTTTGCAGATAGAGATATTGTCGATGCAAGTGCGGATACGGAAATGAAGGCAAATATAAACGCGGATGCTGATGGTGATGCTGATAAACGCAATTTCAACAGCAACAATTGCAACGATAATCACATAAATATTGAGAATAGCACCACTGATGATGTACAACGTATTGCTTTGTCTTTGAATTTAACAAAAGTTGATGACATATCAGTCAAAGCAACAGAATTAACCCCGAGTGAAACATCTATAAGTCCATTATCTCCAATAATAATGTTTCCAACACCAACCGATGTCAGAACATCAACTGACATAATACCAGCAACAGAAATTACCACTGCTGCTACTACTGTCGCTTTCTGTTTAGGCGATAATAATGGCAACAACAGTGCCGAGGCAACCGATGGCAAACCGTCACCGAGCTGTTCACCTTCGACCAGCAAGACATTCAACATTCCTATACAGAAACCAGCAACTGTTAAAGTGCAATCAGACAAGGACTGCACTGTGCCCTACAATATCATCAATAATTACTTTTCAGTCGGTGTGGTAAGTATAATTCAGTTTCACAATTTTACCTGCTCAAGCAGAAAATAATGCACGATTGGCATAGTAAGCAGAATCCGATTAGGATGCAATTAAGTTGATTCCTTATTTAAGATTCTCCGTTAAAAGGCGCCTGTAAACATTCCCGCAAGTGTCATATGTGGTTTGGTGTGGTAGTGCTGAAGCACTCATAGTACGAAATGGAATTTGCATTGAATTACTTGAAAGTTACCAGGAGTATTAATTATTTAGTGACTTGGTTTGCTACCTCTGAAAGTGCTTTAAGTAAAGTACGAATTCAGGGTTTGAAAACGACGTAAACATTTCAAAGGAGCCGCCCGAAATTGCAACATCTTTCTCAGTGTCATATGGCTTCCATGGCTGTACTTTGAAATTCCATTAACGGCAGACTGTTCAAAGTACTATCACAGATATGCGAAAGAAAATTTAATTTTAAAAATTGCTCTCCTATGGAATTGGTTTTTCCATCATAGACATTTATCCATTTAACTAGGCATTACTTTTTAAAAAATATTGCACATTGGAGAGAAGTGTCAAAAGCATATTGTCGATAGCCCAAAGCTTTGATTGTTTCAACTTTGAAATATTAGTTTTGCAAATAAAAACAAATAAATGTTAGTTTTCTATTTGGTATAGTTTCGTTTTAATCCTATACCGTTTTCAATTGGTTAATTTGGGAAAACTTTTTCAATCCAGATTCATTTTTAGTGTGATTTTCATTTTCGATTGGTAAATCTCGAGCAAAATGTATAACACTTGAAATTAACTTCTAACACTCTAGATATTTTGACAGAGTAGCAAAATTACCCTGAAATTAATAGCTGTTTTATATGACTTGACAAATAAAGTGTGATTTGATTTGATAAATGTATTTTTGAGAAATATATATATCTCTTAACACTATTACAAAAGTATTAGATTACTCTAAAAATGTTCGACTGTGCAACAAAAGATCGAGAATAAATCTACCTTGAATCTATTCAACAAGCCATTAACTAACACATTAGACTATTTTTGGAATATATATAAACTGATATGTATTCCTAGAAGCGAATACTATTATACCTGTTATATAAAATACTCTGGCTAAAATTCGCTATTAAGGCTTCAAATTTGTTGATATAAAAATAACTTCAATTAATCGAAACTACAGAAATGATATACTCGTATATAATTTTTCCTAAACATATTTTTTAAAAGCGATAAAAAACATGAAAACTAAATAGAAGGTTACCTAAGAAAACTGCTCGGAAAAACACTCTGAATTAAAACAAGTTTAATACCTTTCGAGTGAAAGTCATAATATCCCTCTTCCAGTAGTTGCGATAAAAGCTTTCACTCCAATTATATTCATTTAGTCGAAATCTAAGTTGGATTGTTACAAATATACATATACGAAAATTTTTTTTTAAATAAAAAAAATAAACTAAATTATTTTTTTATTATTTTAAAAATAGTATAATAAAAACTAAAATTAATAAAATAATATAAAAACAATAAATTTTAAATTGAAGCAAATAATCAAAAATTTATTTGAAGTGGCGGTTTCAGTCGTATATTAAATTCGTGAAAAATCTGAAATATTTTTGATATTGACCATTTGATTTTATTTTGACAGAATATGATTCACTTTCTGAATCAAATGCAATGTCTCTGCGAATGAAAATCTTAATGTTATTTTTTTTTGCTGAAAATGACGCGTCTTATGACGAAAAGAAACTATTTAAAAATAAGAAGGGTTTTCATAACAAAATATAATATGTCTAAGCTACTAATTTCCAACATTAGTTACATTTCTCTACTGCACCAATTTCGAAACCGTGATAGCTATATTTATCATTAATAGTTTTTAATACCTCGATCCAACTGGGGAACCATGGTAGAAGATTGAATATCCCTTTCCATCATACCTATCACAGCTATAGGAAAGAGGATGAGAGTGCTTCTCATCTATTCTGTATTTGTCCAGCTCATACACGACGGCAACTCAACAGTTAAGGAACTCCCTATCTTGTGAATCTTTAGAAATTACAAGACCTCTCATTAGGTTTTAAACTCTAAGTTTTCCTTTATACCTATATGGTGGCCTAAATGGATTCCGCAAGTATTGCCGGGGTTAACCCAACCTAAGCTAATACCTCGATCCACACTTGGTTTTAACAACAGTTAACGATATCTTGCCAACAAATAATTTGAAAAATTTTATTCAATTCAGAAGAAGCTTCAGCCTCTCTCCTCGCTACGTCCCTAATCATATATTAAGTATAAAGTTTTAATAGTAACTTTATTATTGGAAATTGTTTGTGTGTCTTAATAGAAGCCCGAAAATTGAATTTTTAATGAACTTGAATTAAATGCCAAAATATTTTTGAAAAGTATATAAAGTGAATCACTTCAAAACATGGCATATTGAGTGTTTTATTTCTGAGTTAAAGAATGTCCTTCAACTAAGTAATTTCGTTTAAGCACTTACGATGCATAAATAAATTTTAATTCAATCAGTCACTCAAAATTATTCGAAAACCTTTTCAAAATAGACAAAAGTGAATCGTAGCGAACGTGATTTGCAAACTAATTTCACAGCGTCGCTCCAAATAGCCTACGGTTGAGAACGCCTTTTGCATGGGAAGCACTACCCACAAAGGATAGTGGCGCAAAGGCAAGGAAACAAAAAATGGAATTTCACCTGGCGGACTATAAAGTTCCTGAAAACGTACAGCGAAGTTTGCAAAAGTTTTGCAAAATTATTTTTTATTATTATTATTTTAAATTTTTATTATTATTCCCACTACAAAATTCAACAAAACTAAAGTTTAAAAAAATTTGTTTGCTTATTTCACTTAATCACAAAGAACTTTACTCTACTTGACATTTACATTTACGTCAATGAGAATACGGGCTAATTATGAATTAATAAATGTCATAAAGGACTAAAATGTTTGCTCTACTTTTCTTTTCTTCCGTCAATCAATTCTAACCTTTGCGGGTAAACACAAAAATCTGGCATCACATTTTTTTTTGCTGATGCTGTTTGGTTTCCTTATTTAATGCAGAAAAAATGCCCAAAGGATCTTTTCGAAGCGCGTGAGCGTGAAATTAAATTTGCACCGACTTTTCACCTACAGAATTCCATTCTACTACGCCTACTGGTTAGTTTGGAAAATGTAACTATTTTAAATCATATTTTCATTGCAGCGCCTTGAGTTTATAAAAATATTTTATATTCTTCACGTATTACCAATTTAAAATGTTATTGCAAAAATAATGAATTTTTATGAAACCTCCTACATCTTACTAAAATGTTAGAGATTATGAAGAATTTATAAGCAGAGAACGTAAAATTCTCAAGATGATATAATTAAACTAATTAACAAAATTTTATGCTCAAATCAGTGACGTAGCTAAAATTAAGTGCATGGGGAATATACCAGAAAATTGGTAGTATCATTGCGCGTTGTTAACATATCTGTAGATATATTGTAAATTGGATATTTGTTGTCCTCTAACTTCTTTTTGATACACTATTATTTCAAGTCAGAATAAGTGCCTTCAAACAAATAAGCAGAATTTATGCACCCAAATATAAAAACATATTAACACTATATATACAAGTACCTTACAGGCTCTTACTATTGAGATATGTGTTCGTTTTGATGGTACAGAGAATATAATAAGATCTATATCTATAAGTGTAGAAATAATTAAGCAGCAAATAATATATTTTTTAGCTAAAAACTGTCCAAGGACCGATATGACATACTGTACTTAAAATGTGGCAAAGCTTTGCTGGATACCTGGTCATGTTAGTGCTGACAGTATACTAGAAGCCACAAATATCAGTCATGAAATAAAAAAAGAAACTCTATTAAAATAGTAAATATAATTAAAATTATTTTAGTATGACCATGAAAAAAAGTTGATGGTTTTATTAAAGGTGAAGCTCTCTTTTAAAGGTTTAAATTTGGTTATGTGGAAATTTATGAACGTTAATTATCCTAAACATATACGAGGCTATTGAAATGAACATCTTTCATCTAAAATCAGTTAAATGATGCAATTTTCAAGACCATTTGCTAAATAAATTTAGCAGCAATCAGAACTTTATCAAAAATTTTAGACAGTAATAAAACGATGGAGTCAAACCATATTGCTATTCAAAACAAAGCTTGCTTAGCAATACAGAGCCAGGACAACTGGCTGGTTTTCTCAAGAAATATCTTCAACTCCATTACTATCTCAACAGTATTCCTATATACTCAATAATATATACTATTAACTGTTAGAATGCCAACCTTGAGTATTTCTGGGACGATATATGTTATTCAGATTTCAAACAAACTTTTATTTTAATATGATACTTTGACCTTTTCATTAGGTCAAAAATATAGTATTATTTCAATGGTCACATTTAATGGTCTACAGCACATATCGTTTTGGATATTTATTTTCAAAGCATCAGGAAAATGCAATATCAACAACTCAAATATGGTGGTGATAAATCACATGATCGTAATGACAAATTCACATTACTAGAAACTAATAATACTTAATAAATAAACTAATATACCCAATAAGTTTCTCCAACAACAAAATAAAAGCAGGACGTATTGTGCAGCTTGAGGTACCGTCCGTTCAATCATATACGTCCTATATCCATATCTTCACTTGTATTCTATAAAACAAATTGCCTGTGTACTGTATTTTAAGTATGAGGGATAGACTCATACTTAAAAATATTTTTTTACTTTAATAAGTGTACCAATTTTATTCGTTAACTTATCTACTCATCAATAAATTATCCTCAGTACACTTTAATACGTGTACCAATTTTATTCTTTAACTTATCCACTCATCGATAAACGATCCTCAGTACTGAAGAAAGTTGGATGTTGGTTAAACGATCCTCAGTATTGAAGAAAGTTGTATGTGGAAAATATTCACTATTCTTATACTAAGTTTTTGCATGTTCAGCGATTGTTGAA